ACTTTGGGGTGATTAGAAGGGTCCGGCGGCGGCGACACCACCGGAAGCGGCATACGAGCGTGAGGAGATGAAGAAGGGAAACGATGAAGAAGAGAGTGTCGCTGGCATTTGTGTTTTTCCTTTAATTCATTTAAAATTTTTATTTATTTTTATTCAAACATAACAAAATCTGACAGGATGTAGAAAAGGGGCCATAGACCAAGTTTAGGGCCCTCTAAGCCCATCAGGTACTTTTTGTGAAGAAAAAAATACTTCATGGACTGGGCCTAGAATCTGAATTGGGATCGCTATGCAGTGGCATCGTGTACAACTTACACCTCCTGGGCTGGTTCTCACTATTGGCAAATTTCTTTTTTTTCTTAATTTTGATTATAGTTTAAGACTTGTTTTAATTTTCCTCACAAAATAAAAAAAATATATTTAAAAAAAATCCGTAAGAATTTGTTAGGTTTCTATTATTTTTGATTTCTTAGGAGTTAATTCGTGGTTACCCGATTATTTGAAATTCATGATTCACCTTTGCTTTGTTGAGATTTGAATCTTATGCAGGTTCGTTATGCGATACGTGGATACGCTTGAAATTTCGATTGTGATTTATTTTCACATCTAGGACGCTTCGACGCTTATTCCGAGTATTGGATTTCTAACTCTTTTCTTTGTTGATACTAACAGCTCACGAGATCGTCGAGTATCTTTGCTTTTTCTGCTTTACTCTACGGGCTAGTATTCCTTTGGTATATTTTCTTTCTATTTTCACCTGGCATTTATCTCTTCCCATAGATCATATGAAGTATAATAAAATTAGGTTTAGAAATAGGCTAGTCTCACCTGGACTTTTCTTCTTCTTTTTGCATATACATTAGCCAAAAAAAAAGAAACTTCTTTTTCTTGCAAACCTCAAAACACTTAAGGATTTACTGACAAGAATCATGTCTTTGCTAAGTTTGGGAGATGATAAGCGGGTTTCTTCTCGACCTTATTATTCTTTTATTCTAGACTTCGGCATGGTTCAAGTCTCAAAGAATCATTTCAGGAATAAGTAGAGACATGGCTAAAATCTCTCCCTTGAGATTAACTAGCTATTATCTACAAGCAAAAACACCAACCAATACAAACTCTTTTTGCCTTCGGGCCTTTCTTTCAAAACCTTTTCAAAAGAGCATATTAATTCACTTCTGTGCTGACGCGTAAATCTTCAAAGGTCGAGTTGCGGCAGAAGGCGGAATTACTATCGTTCATTTTAAAACACAAACAAATTCAAACCTTGTTGTGCGCCCAGGCGCATTTTCTCCAAACTTTTCAGAAAGAATATATTAATTCACTTCTGTGCTGACGCGTAAGTCTCCAAAGGTCGAGTTGCGGCAGAAGGCGAAATCAATATTGTTCAGTAAAAAAAATACAAACCAACAAAAGCATATGAGCCGAACTACGGCTGCTCTGATTCCTTAAAAGGGATACGTAGGCATCGGGGTAGGGCCCGAACGAGCACAACTTTTATTTTCCATACATTTTCCCCCTTTCTTTTGCATGCATTCTCCCCTTAGCAATAATAAACCGTAAGCATAGATTAAACACACCCATAAGATAAATAACAAGAGTGGATACCTTAGAGTACTACGGGCACGTGAGGTGCTAATACATTCCCCTCGCATAACAGACTCCCTTACCCTCATCTCTTGGTCGTTCGACCTTGATTTCACCCTTTTCAGGTTTCCTCGATGTTTACCTTTCCCTTCCTGTGGGATAAAAGACGTTTGATGGCGACTTCATTGTTTGATTTTCAGCCAGTTGTTTCAGATACCCGTGCGTTCGCACGAGTACTGGGTTGATACACTGTAATGTCACCATTTTCAGTAGTTATTGAAAAAATAATTGAATACATATTAATAGAAAAATATGTTGATCAGTAACTTCATGTTTTCATTAATATTCAATATTTTAATCAGTTACTTCATGTTTTGCGTTAATATTTAATATTTTTATCAGTAACTTCATGTTCCTATTAATAATCAGTATTTTGATCAGTAACTTCATGTTCCCGTTAATATTCAATATATGATCAGTAACTGTATATTCTCGTTAATATTCAATATTTTGATCAACAACTTCATGTTTCCGTTAATATTCAATATTTTGATTAGTAACTCCATGTTCCCGTTAATATTCAATATTTTGATCAATAACTTCATGTTCCCGTAAATATTCAATATTTTGATCAATAACTTCATGTTTCTGTTAGTATTCAATATTTTCATCAACAACTGTATGTTCCAGTTAATATTCAATATTTTGATCAGTAACTTCATGTTCCCGTTAATATTCAATATTTTGATCAATAATTTCATGTTCCCGTTAATATTTAATATTTTAATCAGTAACTTCATATTCCTGTTAATATTTAATATTTTGATCAATAATAAATTCGTGTGTACGCACATGACACGTTTTTGAGTGTGACATGATTTTGGACGCACAATTGTTTGTAGTTTGTCATAAAAATAAGAAGTTGAAAAAAGAAAAAACTTAAAAATAATAAATTAAAATTGAAATAGTAATACATGTAAAAGATGAAATATAAACAACAATATCAAAAATAATATGATTAAAAATAAAACCTATTGAAACTTTTTTAGATATATCAATCATTTTAGTTTTTCTTCTTCTTTCAAATAAAACAATTATTTTATAAAATAGAATACAATTTTTAAAAACTCAACATTACAAGAATGCATAGGCAATATAAACTTTTAAGTATTATTTAGTTTGTGATTTAAAGTACTCAAATTAATGTCAAATGATATTTAAAATATTATTATGTAATAATAAATTTTTCCAATACTAAAAAAATAACTTTTCTTTAGGTTATTTTAAAATTTTGTTAGTTTTTTTGAAAAAAATTAAAAAAATAAATGTTTATAAATCTTATAAAAGATGAGTCATTTTTATAGATTTACTCAATAAATAAAATGGTCCGATTTATCGGCTAACCCGATTAAATCGAATCAGTCAAAAAAAACAAAATTTTATAATGGTTCCGCTCTATATAAAAGAAAATGATGAAGCAAAAGGAGCAGGAGAGCAAAATTACCTTATCAGAAAATTCTTCATCAAAAAAGATCCAGTAGACAGTGTTGCCAAAACTCAACCCTTCAGCTACATATTCACATCAAATTTCCATTAGATTTGTTTTAGAAAACAACAACCACAATGTCTTATCTAACTACAAGTGGTCAACTAAAAAGATATTAACTTTGCATATAAATTCCAACATTATGGACATAAGGCTGAAGAAAGTTGAACTACTAACCTCTTTCAACTCAATTCCTGGAAGTGGTTCTCTTTATGGGTCACAAACTTGATAACTCAAAGATTCATTCCACTTTCTAGTTATTAGAATCTTAGGCTCTTCAGCAGCTTTATACACATATCCATCCACTTCATATCAACCGGCTCAGCAAAATAATGTCTTTATAGATGGATATTTATTATATATAAAAGCAGCATTGAAGAAGTTTTGAAATTAATAGTTTACACATGGAGCAAATAATCGTAAGGGAAGGGACAATAGCTTTGAAATTGTTGTTAAAAGGCATAGAATAGAAAGCACTTTATCATAAAAAAGTGTTGGTAATGCCTATACTTTAAAAAACGCTTTCTGAAAGTGCTGCCTTTTCTAAATTCTAAAATTAAAACTCTTAAACCCTAAAATAACAAAACACAATTCTTTCTGATACTCACCTCTATCTCTGCAACAGTTCTCATCGATTTCACCATTTTCACGTTCGTTAACCTCCATCCACCTTTGTTCATCTTCGTTCACCTCCGTTCACCGTCGTTCAAGCAACTATCACCTCCGTTCACAGCGTTATATAACTATTCAGCAGAGCGTTATTTTTCTGCAACTGTTGGACCTTGTAAGTTCTCTTTTCTTTTCCTCAAATATATTGTTGTCGAAATTGTGAGAATCAAAACCTACTTCTATACTTTCGAGCATTATTTCTGTATTATTGTTGTTAGCCACTGAACCAAGAGAGAACAAAAGAAAAACAAGGAAACCAGAAATTTTTGTATTATCATATAGTAGTTGTAGATGCAAACTCTTAAATCAAATATTTATGAACTTAAAGTCATAATTGACAAGTAATTAAGGTTAACAACTTTCAGTTTGTTTCTGATTTGAAATCATGAAGCTAAAGTAAAGAAGTAAACTTCGCTAATAGTTGTATCTTCGTGAATTGACTTTAGAATATAAGTTCAAAACAATTAAGAGTTCAACTACCTAAATATTCTTATGTTCTTTCAAAACTCACTACCTTTTAGTTCCTGTAAGAAAATTAGTGGAGATTAGAAAAGCAGATCGGGAGCTAGTGATAGTTTGAGACACAACTGAAATTTTATATAATAAAGACATGTGACAGTCTAATTTTGCTAGCACAACCCACAAAACTATGATTTCCATTAATGCATACTTCAAAACTATGATTTTCATTGGTGCAGACTTCAAAACTAGTATGTAACTCTCTGATTTATGGTAATTGACGCGACCCATCATCAAGCAACACACATAGTAAGCTTAAATAATAGTATGTCTTATCTTCTGGCATAATAACTTGTGATACTATTTGACAGTTTATTAAAACCAAACAACTTATTGGCCTAAATTCCAACGAAGCCATTAGAAAGTTAGATACTAAACTTAATCTTATAGAAACTTTGTGGCATACAAACCTTACAACTGAAGTTGCAATTTAGTTACAAACTTGCTCATTGTGACATTGAACCACATAGTAGGTGTTTTATGTACAGTACTAATTTTAAAAAGTAATTATAGTCATATTGACATCTGTGATGATGCTAAACTCCTGCTGAAAGAAGTCCTTGAATTCATTGAAAAGGTTTTTGAAATCTTTGTTCTCTTCCAGTTTTAGAAACACTCTTTCTCCTCCCGTTAGAATGATCTTTACCGTCGTGATTCCTTTGTTCTCCAACTTGTGTTGCAGCTAATTTAGTTCTTCTGCATTCCTAACAAATCCAACGTAGCTTGCTTTAACCCATGCCATCTCTTCTTCTTTAATTGAAATGGTCATTCTTGAACTCTCCTTGAACTCTCTTCCATGTTTGTGATCCTTGTGCGGCTCGTGTCCGCTTGATAGTTTCTCTTGACTTTTCCACGTGAAGTCCTTGATTCGAGTTGCATATGCATAAGACTTACCTTCCTTTCTAAGATTATGCTTGAATCCTGCATACCTATTCTTCTGAAAGTCCCTGACTAGCCCTTTGTTTCTTGTTAGACTTTAGTTTTTCTCAATTTGGCTATTGATCCGGTGATGAGGTCTTTTGTTTTGTCTCTAGAACTTTGAAATATTCACCCACACCTTGTATGATCTGAGTCATACATCTTTGAGTTGATCCTCTAACCATTTCTCATATTTAATCTCCACGTATCTGAAAAATCAAAAGATCTTTCTCGACTTGTTTCTTCTTCTTGCTATGTAAACATGTCTAAGAACCTTTAGTGTGCAACATTCCAAAGTATTATAGTCATATTGACAAAGCTGTAACATTAGAGTAAATAAGTTAATATTGACAAAGTTGTAACATTATAGTAAATAACTTAATGAGTTAATAACAAAAAACATAGTTGTTGAGTCAAGAAGTTGTAGTTAAAGGTTGGTTCAAACAAAATATTAAATGCCTTCTTCATCATTGTGTGCAGCATTGCAGCTGTTGCACTATTTTCAAGTGACATTTCTAGCAACGTAATTGTTTTAATATCAAAACTAAGGTGTGATATGGTGGGAGAACTGACTTGGATGTTTTGTGTTTGATCGTAAATATTGCGGTTATCAAGAGTCGCTACCGGCTTTTCTTTTATCCAAAAGGAAAGGTGAAAAAGCACAGGAAAGACCTTTGAGATTGTTTCTTGAGTTCGGGGGATAGATTATGAAAAGGGAAGGTACACTACGCCAAATAAGCTATTTAATAGCGCTTTTTTTTGTTTTTGATAGCGCTTAAAAGTGCTATTAACCGCGCCACTATTGTAAATATTTCTTATTTAATAGCACTTTAAAAGCGCTATTAAAGTACCAATTTATAATAGCGTTTTAATTAAAGTGCTATCAAAGTCAGTATTTTGCATGTTTTTTGTTTGTTTTTTTATAGCACTCTAAACAAAAAGCGCTAATATATAACATATGTTTGATAGCGCTTTCAAATAAAGTGCTAATAAATGGTACATATTTGGTACAATATTTTTAATAAGTACAGTACAATATTTTTTCTTACACAATCATTTTTTTTGGTGTAAATATAAAATAACTATATTCAATTCAACACAAATAACGCTTTAAGTTACTCATTGCATATATATTATGATCCATCAAATACCAAATAACATTTTAAATTACCAAATCCTATTGTTTCCAAATATCATAACATATAGAATATTAAGAGGGCGTTTGCATAGCCAAATTTGTAGATGCCCATCTATGAGTACTTCGATCCAAATCCAAAAACATACAATCAAATTCTCTAAACAAAACACCAAAAAAATAAGAAAGGATAACAAAACAATCCCATGTAGTAACCACCTTCATGATCCAAAAGCGTTGAAGCATCCACAATCAACGCCATTAATTTGACGAGGACACTACAAAAAAAAAAATTTATATCGATTAATTTTACTCCACATAATTGTTTTAAAATAACATTAATTTAGACACAATTACCTAGAAATAAACTTGTCATACAAATACCTAGAAATGAACAACAATTGATATTAATATATTTGTCACCAATGTGAATAACATTAATATTAATAATATATTTGTCAAATAAGAGAATATTTGTAATAATAGAGGTATCTGGAAAATACAGTGATAATAGATGCACTTAACCAATTGTGATCAAGAATCTCCTTTATACTCTCTACACGTAGTTGCTCTAAAAACTCCTCACCAAATATACTTTCCTCCATTTTTATTTGAATTAATGATCCAACCCTCATCATCTTTTTCACATACATATCAAGGAAAGGTAAATTTAAGGTCTATTTATGATTAAGTTTCTTACTCAGGAGGCATATATCCAAACGTCCCGACAAGGCGTGTTTGTAACGAGGAGCTACCATATTCAGTCAATTTTGTCAAACCAAAATCCGCAACCTGTGAAAGAAAAGTTAAACCGCCCGAACTCAACTTTAAGATAAATACATAAAAATTGGATAAAGCATTTGCGAACCTTTCCGCGGAAGTTTTTGTCTATCAAAATGTTTGCTGATTTAACATCTCTATGTATATAGACAGGAACTGTATGCTCGTGAATGTATTCAAGTCCTCTTGCTGAGTCTAATGCAATTTGAACTCTAGCTGCCCATGATAATGGATCCTTCCCTATAAATCAAATATCTTAAGAGTCTTATAATCATCAATAAAATGATGCAATTAGAATTATTCAAAGTTCAAGTTATTGTTATTATTGACAACCTGTGCCGCGCAAATGTTGACTTAGATTTCCATTCTCAATGTATTCATAAACCAAAAATAAGGAGCCCTCAACACAATATCCAATTAGCCGCACCTGCGTAGAATATGTGTATGCAAGGAATCATGATTTTGGAAATAAGTAACTGTATATATTTCAATATCTTGTTATGCAAGTAACTTCTAGTTTCTACATGACTAGCATAAGATCATTTGTAGCAGAGACACTTTGGATTCAAAGTATTTTAGGTGTCTCACACACGCCATGGTTACATTCATTTTCATTTTCTTAAACCGTTACTAAGTTTATACGAGTCAGTGTCGTGTCTGTATCTGTATCAGTATCATGCTTCAACTTTGAATAATATTGGAGCTAGGAAAAGGTCATACCAAATTCAAGTGATGAACGTGTGTCAGAACCTTTAGTTCGGCTAGGAATTCTTTTGATGCTTGCATATCCATCTTTTTTATTGCAGCTTTCTGCAACAACAACAAAAAAAAGAAAAAGTTAATTGCTGCTAATAAATTGAATTTCCATTTTAAAATAGATTTTAAACACACAAACCTCGTTGCGAAGCTCGGCATAGTAAACAGATCCAAATCCACCTCGACCTATTATATTTGCCGCGCTAAATCCGTCAGTAGCTTTGGCGATATGGGAAAGACCCCTCTTGATGCTTCAGAGGAACATTACATTCAGGTAAATTGATATGAAACAGCATTTACAACTGAAATGCATATTGAGATAACACATTAGGATTGGACAGGTGGTGAACTTACGAAAATGAAAATGATTGAATGTAATCATATGTGCAAGAGTCGGGTCACTCTTCCACATAAACAAGTGTCAGACACCAAAGACATCTTCAATCTGAATTATTCACCAATACATTGTAGCACTATGTGTTGACCAGCATGATCTTGTTTTTCATGTAGCCTGGAGCTTTATCAGTTATAAAAGCTATAGCTAGTGAAGTGGATTCCAACAATTTAAACTCGGTTTTTCACATTGGAGACATAAGCTATGCGACCGGTTTTCTAGCAGAATGGGATTTCTTTATGAACCTTATTAGTCCAGTAGCTTCAAGAGTTTCTTACATGACAGCAATTGGGAACCATGAGAGGTATTGCTTGCATCCACATTAATAATCATAATTCTGTTCAAACATTTTAACAATAATTGAATGGCCTATTCTGTTCAAACTTGTTCTTATTTATATTCACAGGGATTATGTAAGTTCTGGTTCGGTTTATCAAACACCCGACTCTGGTGGTGAATGTGGAGTACCTTATGAAACATACTTTCCAATGCCCACTTCTGCAAAGGATAAGCCTTGGTACTCAATTGAACAAGCAAGTGTTCATTTTACAGTAATATCCACTGAACATGACTGGTCCATAAATTCTCAACAGGTTAATTAAATAAATAATTATTTCCTATTTCATATATTTCTAATTTAATTAAATGATTCATATATGTAAAATTCATATTGCAGTATGAATGGATGAAAAAGGATATGGCATCCGTTAATAGACAACATACTCCTTGGTTAGTCTTCATGGGGTAAGTGATTTATGTAAATTTTTAGATTGTGGTTTCTCAACTAATGTTTTAAAAACCAAACTTAACATTGAGCCAACGAGACTTCCGAGTCATGATTCAGCTGACTTATACCACTCAAACCGAAATAAAATCACAACATTTATTGAACATACTATTTTTATTTGCAGACATAGACCAATGTACACTTCCAACCAAGGATTTTCGTCTAAAGATCAAAATTTTATTAAAGCTGTGGAGCCATTGCTATTTGAGAATACGGCAAGAACATCAAACTCCTTAGAATTCTGTTACTTACAGTGCCTTGTATAAGAAGCTAACTGTGTATTATGAATATGAAACAGGTTGACTTGGCACTTTTTGGCCATGTGCATAACTATGAAAGAACTTGTTCTGTCTATCAGAATAAGTGCAAAGCCATGCCTATAAAAGATCAAAAGGGAGTAGACACTTATGATAACAAAAATTATAGTGCACCCGTACATGCTGTCATTGGCATGGCTGGCTTCCCCTTGGACAAATCCTCAAACAATGTAACTAATTTTCCCTTTATCAAACTCGTTTATATATTCATGGATCTAAATTGTAGTTGTGGTTGCAGTTGCCATTACAATGCAAACTTTGATATTGCATAGCAATGTTGTTGCCGAGACCTCTAAAACCTTTAAATTGCAGCCACAATTTAGATCGAACCTTGTTCATTTATATAAAAGTTTGGACTGTGCTTATGATTTTTTTAATATGCAAATGAAACTGTTTGTTCTGTTGCATTGGCAGGGAGAGAGCTGGAGTCTTAAAAGAATTTCTGAGTTTGGTTATTTACGAGCACATGCTACTAAAAATGATTTAAACTTGGAGGTTAGTATTTATATACTTATATTCCAACCTCAATCACCATTTCATTTTTTAAGCAAAATACATCAGAGAATCATGATTTCTTTATTTTATCTTAAATACATTTTAAGCATTATATACTTCTTTGCAGTTTGTGACATCAGATACAAGAGAAGTTAAGGATAGTTTCCGCATTACAAAGTAAAAGCTTACTCAAGAAAAAGAAACAGATAAAGAAGTAGAAGTAGAAATTGGTTTACTGACAGACCAAAACACACCTATATAAAATATGGAAAGCAAAAGGAGATCTAGAGACACTTGAAGATGAACAGCATTTCGGTTGATTCATTTACAAAGAATTACATATAAACAAATAAGTTCTTGTTACTGCAACTCTTATTTCTAGTCCAAATCAAAATCAATATATATATATATATATATATATATATATAGTTTCTAAGTATGTTAATTGCTGCTAATAAATTGAATTTCCATTTTAAAATAGATTTTAAACACACAAACCTCGTTGCGAAGCTCGGCATAGTAAACAGATCCAAATCCACCTCGACCTATTATATTTGCCGCGCTAAATCCGTCAGTAGCTTTGGCTAACTCCTCATATGAAAACTCCACTGACTTATCAACCGTAATACCAGTCAACCTCGGAGAAGCAATAGTAGTTGATTCGGAAGCCTTATCCAAGCTACTTCCACAACCTAAATCCATGGAACAAATAATCCTCATATATATACATGAAAACTTAATCTACAATCTAGAACTAGAAAATATCACTAGACAGTTAACAACAAAATATGATATATACCATGTTGGAGTTGGCTATATTGTTCTTCAGATGCACCTGGGACTGGTAGAAGGGTTACTTGAGCAACTTTTTTTCTTCTATAGAACACAACATAGAGAATGAGTGCCAAAAGTAAAATTCCAAAAGCTCCTCCAACAACTATGCCAGCAATGGCTCCTTTGGACATTCCTATTCAAATTGGTATCATAATTAACAGTGTCAGCTACATAGCAATATTTATTTACCCTACCATGATTTTTCATGTCACTCTTTCACTTGTATATATTGATTAACATATATTTATGAAGCTGCAATGTGTACATCACCTGATCTGCAAATACAATCAACACCAAGAATTCAATTAACACCAAGAATGACTATCAATTTTTCATATGATTTTCATAATTTATGCATATTGATCAAGAGAAGAAAATAGGCACTGCATTGCTACAAGTGTGATCTGACATGATTTCAAATTGCAAGATGAACATGTTTATTAAAAATGAAAACCCAACAGTTCATTCACTCCAATACACAATAATGCAATAATCTCATGAATCATGAATCATGATAGAGGACAAGGATTGAAAGAATTCAAAACAACAAAATTCAACATTTGAACATGATATTAATGCTGAAGTGAACACCAAGAATTCAGTTTAACTTCGACATGCTCAACTACAGTTAGATTCATAATATAAAATTAGTCATATAAGCTAACAAGAACACTTCTTCTAACAAACACAATTATGAGACTTTACTTGATCAGCAGTGGCGTGAGGAGAATGGCTTAGTGGCCAACCTTACAAATTTGTGTCATCAATTCAGTAATGGAAAGATGCAGTATGTCAAAGATCTTATCAGCAATACCATTTACAAGATTATTAGTAAGATTGTGGTCAATAGGCACAAGATAGGTATTGATGACATGGTTTCTCCTTATCAAACTGGTTTCATCCCCAAGAGAAGCATCCATGAGAATATTGTCATGACTAATGAAATGGTCCATAGCATGAATAAGCTTAAAGGTAACAAGGACTTTTTTGCTATCAAGCTGGATTTATCTAAGGCCTATGACATGAGTTGGAGCTTTATCAAAAAGGTTATGCAGCAGGTTGGCATACCTGAGAAGATCAATCAGATTATCTTGCATTGCATATCAACTGTCAAGATAAATGTGTTGTGGCAAGGTCAAAAGGGAACAAATAACCAAAAAAACACCTTAAAAGATCTGAATAGACAGGTTCGCTCCAGCTCGCACAATCAAGTCCAAGTTTCTCAAATGCTGCAAGCACAACATCGAAATCAAAATCGAAAAACAACAGTTCGTTACACTCCATGAAAACAGAATAACACAAGGAGAATATGGAATTATAGATGAGCAGTGACAGTGAGCACAGTCGAACTGTTGATACCTTTATTGAAGGCTATGCGATTCCCACGGTATGCATCCACAAGAACCCTAAAAAACAAATAAATAAATAAATAAAACAATTAACAACCACAACAGTTCAAACAAGTTGAGCAGAGTGAAACTGAAACGAGATTGTTAATAACGAAGAAAAGCGAAAATTCACCCGTCGACTTCGAGGAGAACTGCGAGATCTTGAGACGGGATGCCGCTGTCGTTGGTGGATGAAGCGGCGATGACGGCGGTGGTGTGGCCGGGAAAATCGAAAGGGGAAAATTGATGGGAAACGGTTACGTTCGCTGTGGGTTTGGGAAACTTACACGCGTGGTTGTAGGGGAAAATCGAAAGGCGAATGCGTTGAAGAGTTTTATGAGGAGAAAGAATTGAACATGAACTTGCTGGTGACTGGATTGCACAGTGCTTTTGACGATGTGTTTTTTTTTTTTTATCAATTAATTAATTAATTCATTATTATATATAACATAGCGCTTTTTAATAAATGCTATTATATAGGTAGTCAAATAATAGCGTTTTATACAAAATGCTATCTTAAAGAAGTTTAATAATAGCGTTCTGGTACAAAGTGCTATCAAAATTACATAGTCTGTATTATATAATAGCGCCCGATTAAAAAGTGCTATTATAAATGTGTTTTTTCCATTTTAATAGCATTTTTTTTAAAAGTGCTATTAAATTAGGTGATACAAAAAATCATTTTTGGCGTAGTGGTATTAGGACATTTTTCATCCATGGTTTTCCATGGGCTCTTGGTTACTTGCTAGATCACTTTCTTTTTTGTTTGAAATTGTGCTTGGTGTGGTTTTTTAAAGTATTTTGTAAAGAAGCCATTGTTTAGACAATCTTTGTAATGATTCTTGTTTGTAAGAATGTATGAAAAGATGTTTGATCTTTTGAAAATGTTTTCAAGTTTGTAAGATGTTTGAAAGTGTAGGTGATTATTTTGAAAATAGCAAGGA